GCATCCCCCATTCTCTGTCTGTCTGTCTGTCTCTCTCTCTCTCCCCTCCCTCCCTCTCCCTCTCCCTCCCTCCCCCTCCCATGTCTCTGTTTCAGCTGGGGTCTTTCTATGTCCCCAAGATGGACCCCTTGATCCTCCTGCCTCAGCTTCCCAAGTGCTGGCACTAAAAGTGTGTGCACCTCCATGCCTGGCTCTAAAACTTTGAATATGCCTGAGGTCAGCAGACACTAAAAAATATCAATCCTTGATGTTTACCATTCTTGGCTGTGGCTAGTCTTATTCTGCTCGTGCCTGCCTGTAACCCCCTCCCCAGGTCACAACTCTGCAAATCTGAGATCATTTTGTCTACACATATTTCCACACACATCTCTCAGGGATAAGAACCCTCTGAGAAACCACGCCCGCACTGGCTGCACAACAAGAATGTATGTACAGGCTACGTCCAGCCTTGTGTCTGTCTGGTCTGTCACCACCCTACCTCATCTCTCGTGCCTTGGCTGCAGTGTTAGGGAAAGCCAGGTGGTGGGCTCTGGGTGGGTCCCCATGGCCTGGGTCTTGCCAGTGTGCCCCTCAGCTGTACACGCATGCTGCCCCATCACCCTGCCCCTGTGCATCTCGTGGGTCGTTGGCTATGTCAAAGGGCTCCATGGGGCCCAGAGCCACTGTTCTGATCTGAGACTTCACAGGGACAGGGCACATCCGCTGCACTTGGCCAGAGCCGCTCTCTCCCTCAGGACCTCCGCCCAGTGGCAGGGCTGTGGCCATGTCAGGATCACACACAGCGGCGTCCCAGTGCCCACCTCCTCCTGTGCTCCCTGGCAGGGCCGAGCTGCTCTGGGGTGCTGCCTCTTCGCCTGCAGAGCTGCCAAGCACACGCACACAGCAAGGGCCAAGAGCGCTGGGTTTCCTGAGGGCCATGGGCTCTTCAGGACGAGGAGGTGTACGGTCCCTCGGCCCTGGTCAGCTCCCCTCAGCCCGGAGAGCACCCATGGCCCAGCCTGGGAGGGGCAGAAACTGCAGCGGGCTCGCTCTGTGGGACCACTTCCTACCCCTGGGACCGCCAGGGCAGGGCCACCCTGGCCTCCTCCTTGGGGTCGTCTCTGTCCCTAGAGCAGCCCACTCGCTCTGCAACTCCTGAACTTGAAAATACTCCAAGTGCAGAAAAGCCACAAAGACAGCACCAAAGTCTCCGCCTGCCTGCCAGACTGCTGCTTCCACCCAGTGTGGGCCCCTTCAGCACGTGCCCCTCGGCTGCCACCACTCCCCAGCTCAGCCACCTTTCTCTCTGGCCCTCTGACGGTCAGCCACAGATAGCCCGCTCCTCGGCCGCTAGCTGCTTGCTTGTGCTTTCCAGTGTGAGGACACTGCCTGTGGAGGGGCGCTGGGGGTGGCCTGAGGGTGCAGGACAGGAACGACGGGAAAATACCCCGGCTCTGACCCAGGGACCGATTTTCTTGCTTGTGGAAACAGGTGTCAGCTCTCCCTCCCAGAGCCTGCAGTCTTATGGCCTGGGTGCTGCCCCATCCTCTCTTGACCCATGTGCCACGGACCTTGGGCAGTGCTTGTGGTATGCTGCCATCCCATGCCCTCACCGAGAGCCTCCAGTCCCCGCGAAGTCAGGTCCAGTCCCATTGGGGAGCAGTGCATCGTGGTGGCAGGGAGCCCCAGATGGCCCCTGGGCTACAGGGATGGCAAAGGTGATGTGTGCACAGAAGGCCCTGGCTGGTGCCTGATTGGTCCTTGGGGGAGGGGCACCCCCCACCATCCACAAGTGCTCAGAGCTTGGTCCTGAGGGCCCTCCCACCCCTGCAGGCAGAGCACATGGGCTCCGAGGTGAGAAGCACTTTGTCTTGGTTTAGACATTATAATGCTTTCAGACTTATCAGAAAATAGGTCATCCAGGTCCTGATGGAGCCAAGCACACTCTCAGCAACCATAAGGGGTCCTGGGCTCCCTGCCGGCCATGACATCCCTTACCATGGGGGAAAGGACAAGCCAGCCTTCCCAGGGCCTCTCCCACCAGCTGAGCTTCAGACATGATAGGAGGCCACCGCAGGCCCAAGGCCAGGCACACACTGTGTGTCCCTGTGCACGTGTCGGTGCATAGAGACCCATGTGTGCACGCCTGTGTGGAGGCGTGTGTGTCTACTCTGCTTCTGTCTGCATGTGTATGTGTGCACGTGCCTCCACGTGCATCAGCCCATGATATCCTGGGCCTCAGAACGTTGGGCTGGACTTGTCAGGGCCTCTGGGTCGCAGGAAAACAGGAGCCCTCATAGGGATAGTGTGTGTCCAGGGCAATGGGGCTGGAGTCCATGGCGGACCAGATGTGGCCTGGAGCTCAGAGTTGTGGCCGTGTTATGTCTGGCAGAGATGCCACTGGGTCCTGGGCCAGAGGGCTTCAGGGGGTAAGATACAGCTGGACCAATCCCTGGCTATGCTCAGATCTGAACCAGACCTGCCAGTCCCCAGGCCTCAGCCAGCACTGGCCTGAACGTGCCATCGCGCCCCACCCCACACGCTTTTTGCATGCATGGACGTGGGACCCTCATGAGCGGTAGTCTGGGCTGCCAGCAAGGAACTGTAAAACCCGAGGCCGGAGCAGGAGGCTGGTCCAGGCAGCTGCAAAGCCACATCAGACTGAGGGCAGAGCCACAGGGCCAGAGCCATAGGACTGCCCCAGGGACCCTCTGACACCCATACGTCCCAGACTCCAGGCTTCTGCTTTGAGTGAAATCTGGACACCTTGTTCTGGCTGCCCCCTCCCCACAAGTCCCACACCCAGGCTGCATGCTCAGAAAACCCCTGGCTGTCTTCAACAGTGACAACTCTAAGTTGGTCAGAAACTTTACCACCAACTTCCAGCTCACTTCTCCCATTCAAGTGCTAACCAGGCCCGACCCTGCTTAGCTTCCGAGATCAGGCGAGATTAGGTGCGTCCGGGGTGGTGTGGCTGCACACATTCAGCTCATTTCTAAACACAACTTTCATTCACAAGTGCCAGGATGAACTTTCCTCGTGGGGAACCAGGAGGAGCCCTGTTTTTGGAGAAAGTGGCCATTTTATTGGCCAGTGGCCCAATACCTCCAAACATGGTCAACCAGAGGGAAGCTCGTGGATGAGAGTGTGGCCTGCTCAGCCAGATGTGGGAAGGCAGTGAGCATTTGCCAGATCTGCCGCCGACTGATGGGAAGCTGGCCCTACCCGCTCTTAACACGGCAGACCTTAGCGGGAGAGGGAGGAGAGGGCCCAGGCCTCCCTGCGGGAGTGTTCTCCCAAGCCCACAGAGCGGCTTGTGTTCTGGCCTGAGAAGTCTTGTCAGGCATCCTTGGAGTCTGTCACTCCAACACTGTGGCTGAGTCCTTCAAAGAAAAATGGAAGCTACATGCTCTGAGGGCACAGAGGTGGCAGCAAGGGCTGGGAGACACTTGACTGGCACCGTGACTGCCCCAGAAAGGGAGCTTGTCCCAGGGTGGATGCTCGACAGGCTCTTGTGGGCTCCAATGGCCAAGACCGGGCCAAGTTGGCCTGGAGCCTGTGAGCAGTGAGACTGGACAAATGGCACTTTGGCAGGTGGAAAGATGTCTCCTGGAGGTCCAGTGCCAGGGGTCGTGGGACCTGGGGCAGGGGGACCCCTGGGGGCTGAGGCTGAGCGGCCTTCCTGCCCCCCACTCTGTAGTTGGTGTTGGAAAAGGACTCATAGAGCCAAGGGCCAGGGAGCAGGGCGGGGGCGGCTCAGGGGCTGTGGCCCCCTGGGAGGCAGCAAGAGCACCCCCACGAGCTCGAGAGTCCTCCCTGGGCAGAGGTGATCAAAGACAGGAGCTTGAGCGGTGAAACGTGGGGCCTGACCGGAGCAGGAAGGTAATTTCTCACGCTGTTTACCACACCCGGAGCCCTGTTGGCGCCTGTGGCTGGGGTGCTCTGCCACACCCCCTGTTCCGAGCCTGCTCGGGGCCCCACCCGGGGACACCTGTGGCCTGAGCTCTCCTGCAGGCCAGCAGGCACCCAGGGGAGGGTCCGTCGTGCCCCCAGAGTCACGGACAGATGATAGCCCCTCCCAGCACAGTTGTCTCCCCAGCGTGGCACCTTGTCATGCTGAAGTCCCGAGGTGAAGGCAGGATTCTGCTGAGAGTACAGAGGGCTCGGAGTGGGCAGGGCCGGCCAGCGCCTCCCTGTGAGTGCGGCACAGCACAGAGAACCTGCCTGGCTCCTGCCCTTTGACCCCTGCCTTCTTTACTTCCCCTGGGCCACAGGAACTCTGTGCCCTCCAGACTGCCCAAGTACTGGAGCCAAGGTAAGGTTTGGAAGGCGTTTTTGGCCCTGACTTCCTTGTGGACACCCTCCACCATCCCTGCTTAGGCAGGGGCCCTCCAGGGCTGACTCCATCTTTCCAGGCACCCCATTCAAGCTGATGCCCGCCAGGGTGCCCAGGATGCTCTGTTCAGACCCTAGCAGGGCCCTTGGCCACTCAGCTCAAGTTCTAGACATGCCACGCCCCTCCACACCCACACACCCCACTCTTCCCAGGAGAGACACTGCTACCAGCAGCAGTGGCGACACTCTGAGAGGCCCCGTGCCCAGGAATCTGCAAACCTCCCTCATTTGCTACCGAATGTCCCCCCTTCTTGGGCTTCGCAGATGACAGGACTGGCTTAACCAAGACTGCAGCTGGTCCTCAGGCAAGGAATGGGGCAGGGCAGGCAGAGGCCCTGGAAAGCTACCCTGGGGGCTCTGCAGCAGAGGACAGGCATTAGCCTTTGGGGGCACAAAGCCCCCTGAGAAGCTTATGAGAGGGCCCCTCCCCTGGAAAGTGTACTCAGCCTTGCCCCAGAGCTCACTGATGACACCACTGGCTCCCTTCAGTAGAAGGCCAGACTGGTCCCTTGGAGTAACAAGTGGGAAGAAAGAGTCAGGCTGCCCTGGGGTGCCCCGCTGGTCACCCAGCTCCGGGGATCAGAGGGCACACTCCGTGGAGGTGACGAAAAAGGAAGAGCGCTCACCTGGATGACGACCTTGACGCTGGCCGTGTCTACTGTGGGTGTGCACACCAGCCCCCCGGGGTGCTGGCCGTCAGCGCTGCGGTTCTGCTGGCCCATGGTGAACAGCATGGGCACGGCCAGCAGCCCCGAGGCCAGCCAGATGGCACTGATGAACTTCTTGGTGCGGCGGCGGGACATGAGGGTCTTGGCCTTGAAAGGGTGGCAGATGGCCAGGTAGCGCTCCACGCTCAGGCTGGCCACATTGAGGGCTGTGGCGTAGGTGCAGGCATCCCGCAGGAAATAGTAGCCACGGCAGACGGCATCCCCGAAGGCCCACGGGTGGTGCACCCAAATGAAGTTGTACAGCTCCACTGGCATGGCCAGCAGCAGGATGAGCAGGTCAGACAGCGCCAGGCTGCCGAGGTGGTAGTGCACGGTGCTCTGCAGACTCTGCAGGGACTTCTTGCGCGCCAGGGTGAAAGCAGTCACCGAGTTGCCCACTGTGCCCACTATGAACAGCGCCAGATACACCGCGGTCACCAGCACCTTGGAGTAGATGTCGGTGTTCACGTCCAGCTCGCTGCTGGGAGCTTCCAGGATGGGTTCTGACATGTTGCCCGAGCCATTCACGAAGCCGGGGGCCAGAAGCGCCTCCTCCAACCCAGTCTGCGGCGGCCGGAAGGGCTGAGCGCCCTGCGCTCCCGGGGTGCCCGGCGCGGAGCTGTTGAGGCGCATGGTGGGCACCTGGGTGCCGGCTTTGTCTCAGTCTCCGGCGCTAGAAGTCGGGGCGAGAGTGGGAGCGCCTCCGGCGGCGACAGGCGAAGAGGAGCCGGCGGGGAGGGTGCCGAGGTGAGGGCAGCGCCGTCCAGCAGCGGAGCGCGGGGCCGGGACCGGACTGGAGCGGGCTCTGCGCGCTGCTCGCCTCTGGACTCCAGCTCTGGGCTCTGGCTTCGGACTCCGCGGCGCCTCGCTCCCTCTGCGCTCCGCGCTGCCCGCGATCTCCAGACCTCGTGGTTCCGGGCCTCCGCGGCGGCCGCGCGGTCCTCGGGCTCCGGCTTCGGCTCCGGCTCCACAGCGGCGGGAGCTGTGGCGCTGAGCGGGGCGCACGCACGGCCGCCGGCGCGCTCTCCTCCCTCGCCCGCGTTCCGCC